GGTGAATGCTGGTCTGGTTGAGTATCTGGTTGTTTTACTTGTTTTTTGAGGCTCATTTAGACTAACGTACAAAAGTGCAAAAACTGTACAGTTGACATGTGTTCTTTTTAAGAATGAACTGGCAACAGCACTGCCAGATCTAAACATGTTTTCACATAAAAATGTTTTTTTTTTTACTTGTGCATTTCCTTGACCTAATGGATTGCTTTTTAAAGGGGAACTAGGCTGTTTTGACTTGCTTTTAACACCCAATTAACTCCTTAATTTACCAGCTGAGATGTCTCCCAGCCTTCCTTAGTGTCTACAGCAGGTCTATTCAATTCTGGGCCTGGAGAACCAGTATCCACCACATTTTAGTGGTTTTTCTGCTCCAACACACTTGATTTAGTGGTTGAATCACCTGTTCAGCAGCTCATCAGGCTCTGCAGAATCACCTGCCGATTGAAATCAAGTGTGTTGAAGCAGAGAAACAACTAAAGCATGCAAGATACCAGCACTCCGGGACCAGGACTGAGAACCCCTCCTCTACAACATGGCCACTTCAGATGTAACCAAATAACACTGTTGAGTGTATCAGTGACATCCGTACAACGAATGCATTTTATGACGAGATGAACTTACACATTTTAATCAAAAATTTAATGACGTTTTCACAAAATTTTATTGAGCTCAACAAGATGTATGAATCAGAACAGAACAGTAAGACTTTAGGCAAGTAACAATGGTAATGTATTGTCAGACTCTACATAAAGTGCCAGTAAAGAATCGTAAACCTTAAAAAGGTAACAGTAACTAAATCTTCAACAACAAAGCAGGACAAACAAACTTAATCATTTTAATTTGTGCCTTATAAATCCAACATGGCACACAATTCAGCAGATTTCAAGAGCATGGAGATCCTCCACAGTGATGTACACCACCTGAAATGACACATACAGATGATCAGTTCACCAAGGACAAAATACTGCATCAATGACATTCAGGATTGCTTGATAAAGACTTCGGGACCTGGATGTCAGAAACCTCAGTCAGAAACATCAACACTAGTCTGAAAGAAGATAAACTCGTGGTGATGTTGATCCATACTGCTGCTGCCAGCAGTACAGCTGGGTACCAAAACTCTGCACCTTTTAACCACTGACTGAAAGCATTCAGTTGATAAAGCATCTTGTCGTTCACGGCATCAGATTTTTTGAGCCAAAGCATGCAGAGTCGTTGACTAGAATAAAAGGCAAGCCCAAGTCCAAAACGTTCCTCCTACACTGCACTCCTCTAAGATGGTATAAATCATATTAATCTGGTGTAACGTAGACACGGCCTGCTTCATCAGTGTGCCACCCATGACACCCATAACCAGGATAAGCGATAGTGAAATATCTCCTGACTGTCAAGAACCGAGTTCAAAAGACCCGTGAAGACGCCAACACAGTAAAAATATATTAAAAAGTCTTTATTTAATGCAGAGGTACCTGGAGGGCAAGGCTGAGGCAGGTTCAGAGGCAGGCTAAGGTCAAAGTGGCAGGCAGAGAGCAAGGCAGGGGTCAGGCAAAAAACAAGGTCCAGAGGCAAAGATCAGGCAGGGTGGATGGCTGGAGAACTACTGGCAAGGCTGTAATAATCTGGCATCTGTTGACTGGATGGCTGGTTCTTTTATAGCAGGGGAAGCAGGTGAATGGGATGAGGCTGATTACAGGAGCAGGTGGAATGAATGGAGCTGATTGAAGCTGACAGAGGTTGCTGGGGAAAACAGGGCTTGGCTGGAGCTTGGTGAGAGGACAAGGTGAAATGAATGAAGGTATAATGAGGAAGTGGAGGAGGGTGAAGGATGGGAGTCATGACAGAACCCCCCCCCCCTCAAGGGCGGATACCAGACGCCCACAGGAAACCAGAGCAGGGCGGGAGGAGGGGGACCAGGAAGGAGGGCCAGAGCAGGGCGGGAGGAGGGGGGACCAGGAAGGAGGGCCAGAAGAGTCAGGGGGACTGGCAACGGGGAACCAGGAGCCGGGACTGTTGGAGCCTGGGGGGCCGGCGACGGGGAACCAGGAGCCGAGACTGTGAGAGCCTGGGGGGCCGGCGACGGGGAACCAGGAGCCGGGACTGTGAGAGCCTGGGGGGCCGGCGACGGGGAACCAGGAGCCGGGACTGTGAGAGCCTGGGGGACCGGCGACGGGGAACCAGGAGCCGGGACTGTGAGAGCCTGGGGGGCCGGCGACGGGGAACCAGGAGCCGGGACTGTGAGAGCCTGGGGGGTCGGCGACGGGGAACCAGGAGCTGGGACTGTGAGAGCCTGGGGGGCCGGCGACGGGGAACCAGGAGACGGGACTGTAGGAGTGTGGTGATAGAGGACACTGGTGGACGAGGACTAAGAGGGGAAACTGGACTATGACTAAGAGGGGAAACTGGACTATGACTAAGAGGGGAAACTGGACTATGACTAAGAGGGGAAACTGGACTATGACTAAGAGGGGAAACTGGACTACGACTAAGAGGGGACACTGGACTACGACTAAGAGGGGACACTGGACTACGACTAAAAGGGGACACAGACACTAGAGACTGGGGAACTTCAGACTGGGGAACTTCAGACTGGGGAACTTCAGACTGGGGAACTTCAGACTGGGGAACTTCAGACTGGGGAACTTGAGGGCAGGAGGGGTCCTCTTCAGAGCAGGGGCAGGAGGGGTCCTCTTCAGAGCAGGGGCAGGAGGGGTCCTCTTCAGAGCAGGGGCAGGAGGGGTCCTCTTCAGAGCAGGGGCAGGAGGGGTCCTCTTCAGAGCCTGGAGGCGTCGACCCTTGGACTGGAGCCCCTTGGACGGGCTGGGCCGGAGCCCCTTGGACAGGCTGGGCCGGGACCGGGGCCTCTTGGACCTCATCCGTCGAAGCCAGATGCGATGCGTCCCCCGGGACCACCGTCGGAGCAGGATGCGATGCGTCCCCCGGGACCACCGCCAGAGCAGGATGCGATGCGTCCCCCGGGACCACCGCCAGAGCAGGGTGCGATGCGTCCTCCCGGACCACCGCCAGAGCAGGGTGCGATGCGTCCTCCCGGACCACCGCCAGAGCAGGGTGCGATGCGTCCTCCCGGACCAGCGCCAGAGCAGGGTGCGATGAGTCCTACCGGACCAGCGCCAGAGCAGGGTGCGATGCGTCCTCCCGGACCACCGCCAGAGCAGGGTGCGATGCGTCCTCCCGGACCACCGCCAGAGCAGGGTGCGATGAGTCCTCCCGGACCACCGCCAGAGCAGGGTGCGATGCGTCCTCCCGGACCACCGCCAGAGCAGGGTGCGATGCGTCCTCCCGGACCACCGCCAGAGCAGGGTGCGATGCGTCCTCCCGGACCACCGCCAGAGCAGGGTGCGATGCGTCCTCCCGGACCACCGCCAGAGCAGGGTGCGATGCGTCCTCCCGGACCACCGCCAGAGCAGGGTGCGATGCGTCCTCCCGGACCACCGCCGGAGCAGGGTGCGATGCGTCCACCGGGACCACCGCCGGAGCAGGATGCGATGCGTCCACCGGGACCACCGCCGGAGCAGGATGCGATGCGTCCACCGGGACCACCGCCGGAGCAGGATGCGATGCGTCCTCCGGGACCACCGCCGGAGCAGGATGCGATGCGTCCACCGGGACCATCGCTGGAGCAGGATGCGATGCGTCCTCCGGGACCACCGCCGGAGCAGGATGCGATGCGTCCACCGGGACCACCGCCGGAGCAGGACAGATGGAGGTGGGACCCCTGCTGGACATGGATGTGGTGCGGACCCAGGGACCACCGCTGGACATGGATGTGATGCGACCCCGGGAACTACCGCTGGACCTGGACAGGCGGAGCCTCTCAGACAGGCGAAGGTGGAATCTCTGCTGGACGAGGATGTGGTGCGACCTCTGGGACCACCGCTGGACGTGGATGCGATGCTCCCCCTGGGACCACCGCTGGACGTGGGTGCGATGCAACCCCTAAAACCACCGATGGACCGGGGCAGGTGGAGCCTCTTCAAAAGGCGGAAGTAGGAACCCCACTGAGCGTGGACGCTGTGAGCCTCCTGGGACCACCACTGGGCGTGGATGTGGTGCGTCTCCAGGGACCACCGCTGGACGTGGACGCGGTGCGCCTCCTGGGACCACCGCTGGACGTGAACAGGACGGAGGGACTCGAGGCTTGAGCGGCGTAGTTGCAAAACCTGGCGTCTGTGAAGGCCATGAATTAGTAGAAGGTCTTCGGGACTGCCACTGTTGCGTTGTCAGGTACCCGTTGCGCAAGATGGCCGCAACAGGCCTGGATGGAGGAGTGGAACCTCTGCGAGGCTGTGGCCTGATGGCCAGCCGTGTTCCCCAGAACGGTGACGCCTGCTCCTTCTCTAGTTCCATGAAGTCCAGGAGCGTGAGATACTCCATGACAGGTATGAAGGGAAAAAAAAATACTCCCAAGTGCTGTGTCGGCGTAGGGTCAGATTTTTGGCCAGATTATTCTGTCAAGAACCGAGTTCAGAAGACCCGTGAAGACGCCAACACAGTAAAAATATATTAAAAAGTCTTTATTTAATGCAGAGGTACCTGGAGGGCAAGGCTGAGGCAGGTTCAGAGGCAGGCTAAGGTCAAAGTGGCAGGCAGAGAGCAAGGCAGGGGTCAGGCAAAAAACAAGGTCCAGAGGCAAAGATCAGGCAGGGTGGATGGCTGGAGAACTACTGGCAAGGCTGTAATAATCTGGCATCTGTTGACTGGATGGCTGGTTCTTTTATAGCAGGGGAAGCAGGTGAATGGGATGAGGCTGATTACAGGAGCAGGTGGAATGAATGGAGCTGATTGAAGCTGACAGAGGTTGCTGGGGAAAACAGGGCTTGGCTGGAGCTTGGTGAGAGGACAAGGTGAAATGAATGAAGGTATAATGAGGAAGTGGAGGAGGGTGAAGGACGGGAGTCATGACACTGACCAGTGTTGCCAGTTACTTTGAAATAGTAATCTGATTACTGACAACTGATTACTCCTTCCAAAAATAACTTAAAGTACATGTCAAGTGTGCCTCAGAGTCTTACCCCACCCACGTATCAATTTTGAAAACTGCAACATTAGTAGGCGTTGCCTGGAGGACCGAGAGGGCGGAGCCGCGGCAGTGACGAAGAGACGGCTAACTAGACGAAGCTAGCTCCCTTCACTCTGAGCAGTCATTAGAAGTGGAGGACGTTTCTCCCCCTCCTTACCCAGACACTCGAGAAGAAAGGGACCAAGTCTATTTGGAGGAGACAACCGGACATGAGCCTTATTGTTTTGAGCTTGTGAGTTGCCTGAAATTACTGGAACCGACCCAACAGACCCATCTCTGAACGTAAGTAGCCGTTAGCCATAGCATTGGATTAGCTGCAGGGTTTGTCTCCATGGCCCTAAAAAGCTAGTATTCAGCATGTTTTAGAGATTTATCTGCATCAACACACCTGGTTTTAATCAGCAACAAACAGCTGAGCTGCTTAACAGCTTATCTAACCTGTTAAAGCAGGAAAATCCACTGAAACGTGCTGGATAGCAGCTCTCCAGGAGATCTGGGCTCAAGCTAGTCTGCTGCATAAAGTTATGAAAATATACCATGAGAAAATTATTCTGTAATGTGTTCAGCCCATTAAAACTGCCCTGATTTCATTATTTATTTACTGATACTAGCTGCTCTTGGTTGCAGGTGATCCTCTGGTGTCTGCAGCTGGTCTCCTGCTGATGTCGTCGGGATCAGGAACTTCCAGAAGAATGTGCCTTTCAATGACTCTTTCCCCCTTATTTGTTATATTAATTAAATAAATCTCAATTTATATATTTCCTGTTTTTGTTCATGTCCATAAATACTTAAACATGCTTGAAATTAAAACGAGCTTTTAACAGTGAGGTGCTAGTTTAGTTAATCACAATAGAGCTAGTTAAACATGCGACAATGTGATAATTCAATTAATGTAATTTATAAATATCCATTAAAATATCAAAACTGGAATCAAAATGAGATATTTGGCAGCACAAAAAACTTGTCAAACACAATATTTATTATAATAATTGTAGGCAGACAGGAGACAGAGCTGATGGAGGTTCTCAGTCATCAAAGGATGGCTGAAGGCTTTCCAGGAACAGGAGATGTGGTGTTGTCTCTTCTCTCTCTATTCTGCCAGATGAGCTGATAGGTTACAGGTGTGTGAGGACATCCTCATGCTGTCATAACCAGATGACAGGAGTTATCAGGTGATCAGCCAGGCTAATGATGAGATGCAGAAAGAAAACAAATCATGCAGAAAGAAAACAAATCCAGGACAGTGTACAGTAATAAAAATAATATGTGGTGTTGCTTACCTTATGTGCTCTTAGAGTTATTAACGTGTGCCTGCCTCATGGTGTAGAGTCCATATTTTGCTGAGTGTCCTGCAGTAATGCAGGTTATTAGTTAATTTACTTTTGATAGCAAAAACAAAATATTTAATTTAAAAGTTATTTACCAGGTGAATCAGCTCACACGTCACCACCTGGTGGTGACCACCAAGTGTCACAGGGCCAGAATCAGTAGCCTCCTTCATGATGTAATCACATACTTATTTAATTGTTAATATCTTAAAAATTCAGAAATGTTTTAATTTTTTTTACCTTGAACAGTTCACTGAGCTTGCACTGTCACTGAGGTGGAAGCTGGAATCAACAGCAGACACCTCACACCGTGGTCTTTTCAGGAGGTGTGGATGCTCTGGGACCTTCTGGAAGATGAATTTCTGTCATGGTCCCTGTGTCACAAGACACTGAGGCTGTGAGCTCTATAAAAACAAAGAAGCAGCACATTTATAAATGTTTAAAAGAGCATAAAATCACTTGTAACAATCTGTAAAACAAATTAAAACTAGAAGGTAATAAAATGTTTACATAGAAGATTATTAAAAATAATTCACCTTTGCTACGGGTAACACCACGTCAGCCTGGACAAGTGCATTCTTGCAGATTACTAAATCAGTCTGACAGCCAGTGTCTTGGGTAGATTTAGCCTGAAAAAAATAGAAGCACATTGATGTTTATAAAGTCAGATAAAATACAAAAGAAACTGTCCCATATAGGCGCTTTATAACATTCCTAGTGTGTGATGTTATTATAAAGTAAAAGTCAGTCACATATGATGTGGAGACCCTGAAATGCGACCTCCTGAACAGAATTCCTCACGGAACCGGGTCACGCTGTGCTAGATTTCACGCTGTAATGCTGTCTGTCAACTAGTGCTGCGTCAGTTTAGAGTCACTGTTGCTGAATTACCGACTGACACAAAAACAACCCGAATTTTCTCTGAGCCTGACAGTCATGTGGACCGTTTTGTCGGCCAGGGCTTCGAGATATGTTCCGATTCGCCGCTGATTCTAACCTTACATCCCGTTCCACATTTTGTGAACTTGACAAAATAGCCCGAAGGCAGTGCAGACTGATATTAGCTAAATGGAGTGAACCACGTCTCTCAAACTTTGCATTTAGGTAGGAAATTGTCTTTAGAAGATGTTAAAACTTTTATTTAGCTTACTCACCTCAGACTGTAGCCCGTCATGGTGGGGGAGCAGAGTCGGTGGGCTGCATCTAAATCGCGGAAGAGCCACGGTGGGCACAGCCTCCCTCTTGGAACGGAGACGTGCAGAATCGCGGGTAAAATGCTGGTTGCAAACTACAGCACCAGGCGGGAGCTGAATCTTTTCCAGACACGCAACCACTGGCGCCTAATTTCTAAGTCCAGCGGAAAGGAGTGCAACCCGACAGAGCTCCGCAACCATACTACACTACACCATCTCACCATGCTAACACGATATGGAGCACTAAACCCGAACTACTTTCCTAATTACACTAACAGCCAAACAGTAACTAAACTACAATATCCAACAGCCAAGCTAACACTAAATAAGTATGTATAACACTAAAAGCTATGCTAAAGACTAGGATATGCTAATGCTATATGCTAATGCTGAACTACGGCTAGCCTCCTACACTCTCATGCAAATCCAACTCCCAACTCGCCACAAGGCGTGGCCGAGACTCCCGATGCTTTTATAACGTTGACACAGAGCTGCTACGTAGTACTCTACTGGATTACGTAGTATCTTACTCTTTAGCCATTGGCTAAAATTTATTCAAAATGAGTCAAATTCTATGTTTTAAGCTGAAGGTGGAGCTATACTGTGGTATTTAGGCAGAATTTTTAATTTTTTAAGAAAATGCACCAAAATGCTAAAATAATGAATACACACATTTAAAACACTATTAGACACTCATTTATACAGTTCATCAGCAAAAAAAAGTTAATTTAGACGTTACTTGCTCTTTAATTACTTTACTGATTCATTCATTTAAAAAGTAACTACGTTAGATTACGAGTTACTTTATTAGTTACTTACAGCATCTACCAAAAACACGCTCCACTGCCTCAACATAAAAACTACAACTGGTTTTGCCAACACTCACTTTATCGCAAATGCTTTTTAACAGTAATGTCAACAATGTATCTTCTTACATTTTAAGTTGAACTTAATGCAAATTTGTATAAAAATGAAATAAAAACACTCTTTCTTGACCTCACTTAAATAAATAGTATTCATAAAAAATAAAACACACAGAGCCAGCACAGAGTGTAAAACCAACCTTAATATTTTCCTCTTTAGCTGATACAGACTCAAAATAGTGACTATATTTCCAGCTAGAAAACACACCTCTCACTCCTTCCGCCATTGTTGATCACGCTGTAGTACAGGGGTCGGCAACCTTTTCCCATCAAAGAGCCATTATTACCCGTTTCCCACAGTAAACACTGGGAGCCGCAGCAGCCACACCGTTGTGGGCGGGGCCTACCCTAAGACAGCCGAGAGCTGCTTTAACCAATCACAACAGGTGACAGCAACCAATACCAGTCGCTCATGTACCTCAAAGTTATCTTTCAGCAGAATATAGTTAATAAAACAGTTTGTATAAAATTGTCCCAGAACTTGTAACCAGTCTGTGTCAACAGTACTTAGATATTTTTCACCCTGATAATGGTTTTAATTAGGGCTGCAGCTATCGAATATTTTTGTAATGAAGTACTCTATCGAATCTTTTATCGATTAATCGAGTACTCTAATAAATTACCCTTTTGCGTTTGTAAACTATTATATCAAATAGCATGTTATAAAATATGAAAGACCTCTTGAAATGAGCAAGCGATTGCCAGTTATTCTTCAAGTTTAATTCAAAATTAGTTTTCATAACTTCAGCACTTCACAGTAAACAAATGCGAGCAGCTGCAGCCCAAACAGCACCAGAACCGCTCACGTCGCATGCGCAAACATGGCTCGCCAGCTATTTCCCTATAAACACACGTCCGTTTTAATTTCTACACTTTTTCTGTCTCACACTAACAAGGATTGTTACGCCGATCCTCCACTCCCAACATGGTCCACAGGGAAAAAACAGAAAGACCTGTAGTCCCCAAACTCCTAAAATAGGTCCCCCGCTCATGGTCGTACCTCCCACAGTGCAGCAGAACATGACCCACAGTCTCCAGCTCCCCACAATCACACCTCCCATCTCTATGTTTCTCCACTAAAAACAAGCCGCCACGAAGACCACAATGGCCCAACCTCAGCCGAGTCAGGACCACCGAGTCCCTCCTCCTGAAATCAAGGGCCGACCCACGTTTGCCCACCATCCAGTTCAACTCATAAAACCCCCTGCCCACCACCCCACCATCCCAAGAGGCCTGACACAGCTTCAAGACCTCCTTACCTATTGCAGAACAATACTCAGGGGATCCCATGTGAACCTCCAACCCCACTGTACCACGCTTAAGCGCCGCCTTGGCCACTGAGTCCACCTGCTCGTAGCCCACCACTCCCACATGTGCGGGTACCCAAACAAAACAAACCTCACTACCATGAGCCCGCAGCTCATGAAGCAATACCCTGGCTAGAGACACCAGATCCAGTCTAGAGCTGGACCCCGCCCCCGATACAGCCTCCAATGCAGCCGCAGAGTCAGAGCAGACCACAGCACGCTCTGGGAAACATTCCCCCACCCAACGCAAGGCGCAGATGATAGCCACCATTTCAGTTGTAAACACTGAGCAATGGTCCCAGATCTGACTACCATAGCTAAAGCACAGGTGCGGAACCACCAAACCCACCGCCACCCGTCCACTGTCAGGATCTTTTGAACTGACCATAAACAGCTGCAAATAGGAACCCCATTTCAACCCAATAAAATCCTGATAATCTCCAGCCACCCCACTACCGCGGCCATGCCCCATAAAGGACAAATCCACCTCCGGCACTAGCAACAGCCATGGTGGAACGTCAGACCAGACCACGTGCGAGCCAACAGGTCAACCGAGGAAGCCCAGTAAGTCCACCCTGTCCCTTAACAGGACAGAAAATCCACACACTCCCACCCGATCAACACCGCCTTCCCAAACTCCCAATGCCAGTCCAAAAGGCCCAACACAGGGGAAGCCACTCCCATAACCCTGACCCTCATTAAGTACAGAAGACCCAGTTTGACCCAACGAAAACGCAGAGGAATATTGCCCACCTCCACCAGCAGTGCCTCAACTGGAGTCGACCGAAACGCACCTCCACATACCCTTAAAGCCGACGCCTAAGACGTCTAACCATTTTAGGGTAGTAGGGGCAGCCAACCCATACAGGACACACCCATAACCCAGGGCCGACCTAATCACACCCCTGTACACCAACAAGGTGCTCCGGCTCGCCCCCAATCAGTTCCGGCTAAACACCACATCACATTCAAGACACATCCACATCTGGCCTCTAGGTAACGAATATGGACAGCCCAGGTCAGCCTCTCATCCAGCCACATGCCCAAGTACCTATAAGTGGACACACATTCCAGCTGCTGCCCACCCAACCTCAAACCCACCGACGAGACGTTCTGTTTATACCCAAATATCCTAAACTGAGATTTGATCTGGGACAACCTAAATCCCCAGCGCCTCGACCAAGCCACCATACCATCCAAACCATCCTGCATCCGTCGGAACAAAAACTGAAGGTTCCCGCCCCGCATCCAAAATGTCCCATCATCGGCAAACAAGGACCTCCCTACAATACCACCCAAGGTGTCGAACAAACCATTGACCATTACATTAAAAAGCACCGGGCTAATCACACTCCTCTGAGGAACCCCGTTCCCCAACCCCACAGAGAACGACAGCTCAGAACCCACCCTAACCTGGATTGTCCTATTACACAAGAAACCCCTAACCCAGTGCAACATCCTCCCACGAACCCCATCCCTGTACAGAGAAATCAGAAGCCCTTCCCTCCACAGCATATCATAGGCCTTTTCGATGTCAAGGAACACCGCCAACACTGCCTCCATAGCTTTGCCTAACTTCCAAATCCAGTGGCGCTACAGCATTTATCGTGGAACGCCCTGTAAAAGGCACAACCTCTAAAAGTGGCCTGGTGAGCACCACCACAATTGGGGCACTGAAAAGCCTCCATACACTGGAGGCCGTCATGATTACCTCCACACCGCTTACACCGCCGGCCCGCTTTACAGACACCAGCCACATGTCCAAACTGTTGGCACCAAAAGCAACGCAGCGGGGCCCTCTCATATGCCCTGACAGAGTCGCACAAAAACCCCAACATAACCCGATCAGGCAGCGCTGACCTGAAGAAAGTCACCAGTAAGGAAGTTGTCTCGCTAGCATTAAAGCCTAACGAGCTCTGATTGTTGCGAGAGACTTCCTGAAATAGGGTGAGCATGATGACGTGGAGAAGCGGAAACCAGTGCGGGTAATGCCGGGAAGTGGAGTTCAGGTGATGTCTGGTGTAGAGTGGATGGCTAGAGGACTGGAATCGTGACATTTCAGGTATCTGGATGAGTTTTGCAACAGCGTTATTTTCCTATTCTGTTACACTCTAAAATATTAGATATTAAACAAGGAGTCAAATCTGACAGAGCTTAATCAATTTCCCTCTGGGATTAATACATTTTTTTTATTGAATTGAATTGTATGTAAAGCCTCATTTACATCAAGTGCAGAACAGATGCAGATCAAAATCTGTGTAGCTTCCGCAAAAGCCAAAAATCATTAAGTCCCATAAGAGCATTTACACTGGCTGTGGTGCGGTGCGGATCTAAAGCTGTAGAATATTTTTGCATGGATTCTATTTTTTTCGGACGGTGCATGCGAATAGCCATGAAGTTGAAGAAATTACATGAGCCAAACAGGACGTGCGCCAGCAGGGTGCATCCGGTTTTTTCAAATTAAAACTCATGCCACATCATTCTGTTTAGCCTTTTCTGTAATTGTTAATAACAGGGTTTTCAAATGACAGTGTATGAAGTGTTAAAGAAGACGAGTGTGGCTTTTGTGTACTCACTCCTCTCTGTACATGTAGTTGTTATGAACTTGCATGAATAGGTATTTAAACTTTCAGGAGACGTTATGTACACGATCGGCAGTCAATGTGAATGGTGGTCCATCCGGATGTTGCACTGATGTAAATTAGGGTTGATGCAGACTTTATAGTCCCCTCTCTTCCATCATAACTGGAATAGTTTTTTCATCGTTCAGGATTGTTTCCATTACACCAAACAAAAAAATCTCGTATAGCTCCCTAAAACTTTATAAACCTCGTTAGGGATTTTATCAATCACCTAATACCTGCAGTCGAAGAGAAAAGAGAGACAATTAACCAGACAAGTTACTGTTTGCAAAAAGGACAGAAGCTCAAGCAATGGTTGAGGCTTACAGCTGCAAAGACATCAGACCTTCAAGGTTATTTATAACATGAGATAAGAAAAGAACAGGTGTGTGTGTGTGTGTGTGTGTGTGTGTGTGTGTGTGTGTGTGTGTGTGTGTGTGTGTGTGTGTGTGTGTGTGTGTGTGTGTGTGTGTGTGTGAATGGCTAGAGGAATGTGTGGGTGTGTCTGAATGAATGAGAATGCTTTCAGGCATAGAGTAATACATAATACATTCAGTTAATAGGTTTAATGATCAAGAAATGATGAGACATAACATTTCTATAACAAACCTTTATCCAGATCAAAACCTTTCTTCCATTTCAAAAATGCTTGAGAAGGAACTGGTCTCCCAACTTCCCGGTCATCTTAAAATAACTTCTGCAATTACCTCCTTAAGAGCAGGGGCAGACTGACCATCTGGCATACCAGGCAAGTCCTGGTGGGTGGTTTACCCTATATGGGCCAGTCTGGTTCACACACCCCCACCTGTCCCAACGGCCTGCAGGACCAAAAAATTCTAGGGCTGAATTTGCGTCCCAGTCCATCTCTGCTTAGAGTATAATCACCAAT